GCAACTTTTCTGGTTTTACTCCTGGATCAGATTAACACTGTGGTGGGTTTTTTTCTGAAATCATCAGATCTCGAACCAAACAGAAACTTATTTGGCTCATTTAAGCCAAAAATCAAAAGAGACTTCATTGGAAATAGATTTCGAAAAGAAAATATGTTATATTATTAATGCAGCAAATTGGTTGGGAATACTGAGTATTGCCATTCGATAACATGTATGAGGTAAATATTGTCTACAATAAACAGCCGTTTCCACCACCATACAAATGCTGAGAATGCTACATCCGACCTTTCTCGTCTCGTTTGTGGTCTGCTAACTTAAAGGTCGCAGGAAATAATTATTTGACTAAGTCCGGTTTTGTTGGGATGGACGCATGTACGAAGTCAAATGTTGAGGTGATTAGATGGTCAGGGCTTATAAAACATTTTTCCTTCGAGATTCCACAAAATTTACCATTCATGTAGATTAAAAAACCATGTGACGAACTTGCTATTGCGTAAAGTTGTTCCGTACTCGGTAGTCAGTGCATTTCTTCAATCGCTCTCTCACTTAAAATGTCATTTTGTCGTACAGACTGATTGATAGGCAGTTACTTGGCAAAATTCGTCTTTTGCGTATGTGAATTTATTCTTTATTTTGGTGCACTTGTCGAGACTGTTTAAAAAAAGGGATTTGGAGATGCCTCTAGACTTTCTCTTTCCCAAATGATTCTACCTCCAGCGGAACTGCACTGTTGCAGGCAGTGAAGTGAGGCGCAGATCAGACGTTGGCCCATGAAGTGGGGCAGCTTCACTTGGTTCACGAGTGTTGCTAAAGCTACATTTCCAGCCGACCGCCAAGTCACAAGATCTCTGGCCAGAGTGGCCAATTGGCGCAACTTTATAGCTGGTTTGGTGAATTCAGTATATGCCAAGTCGGTTGAATATGGCATTTTTAGCTTTACCGAGGACACATAATTCAAGACATTTCGCTTGCTGGCCACAAGTTGAACCCATACGGTTAAATAGGAGGATGTGTAGTTGGATAGATATTGGGATAATTTGCTCAGATAGACTTCTGTTTATAAGGACATTGTGAATAGGATAACTTGGAAGGTCTATAAGAAGCCTAAATAACTAATTCTATGAAGTGCGAGAGATATTGTGCCTGAATAAGTCGGAATACATAATACCTCTCAGGTTAATAAACTTTCATTTAGTAACTAATCAACAAGTGACCAATAACAACTATCCGGTATAAAGGCTATATTGAGAGGATAGGTGCAAACGGCGCCAGAAAGTAAAGGAAATCCAATGAGGACAATAGAGAATAAGAAGGCATTTATTCGTTCATTCTCAAAAAAGATGTCGTTATTAAGCATTTTAGGCAAGGAAGAAGTGGTAAATTTGATTAGGCCATAAGAAGACATACAAAATGGGAGCAACAGTAAAGCAGTAGATGATGCATAAGGTGGAAATTACGAAAGAGCGGGAGTGAAGGACAAAAGGAAATGCGAGAGTTCAAGGGTACCGGACAAAAAGAA